GAACGTATGTGTGGATGTATGTATGAGCGTTATCGTAGGGTAGGAATGTTTTTGAAGTAATCGCTCAGTCTTAAATGTTCCTTTCGGTTATCAAGTATTAAAGAGGTGAGGGAGACAGAAAAAATAACGATCGCTTGACGTTTGTCAAGGGACGTGTTAATACGCTCGTCTCCGTCTCTGGTGACAGGTGAACTTGCCCGTCTTTTATTTTGTTTGTGGGACATTTGGAGATTCACTCCCGGATATGATTCGGGCTTTTCCATTGGACGATGAACAAATTTTTGCGTCACCTCGCGAAAAGGTCCGTGAAAGAATTTGTTTTTGAGAATTGAAGATTTGATTTTTTTTTTTTTTATTTTTTTTATTTTGATTTTTTAATGTTTCCTAGTTTTCTATTAGCCGAAAACATTTCGCATCAAGGTGTGAAGTTTCACGAGTTTTGTTTTGGATTCACTTTTGCGTGTGTGTTAAGCAAAGTTTGTAAATTCGAGTCTTTTTAATTTCTAATAAAATCAATGCGTCTGTGCTTAGCATTTGAATTTTAAATCAAGATCTTGTTTTGTTCACTACTTATATACGCATCTATACAAAACTGCATTTTGTTTTTCTTCGTCTTTAAAGACATTTACTATCAATCATCTTGCGTTTGGATTATTTTTCTGGACCTCCAATAATTTGCGGAAAAGCCAGCAGAGCATAATTAAATATAAAAGCTCCGACTTAATAGTTTCGCCACAAATATTTATTAACAGGAAATACGATTTTTTTTTTTTTTTTAATTAAAAGCTCTTTATTGCTTTAATAATAATAATAATAATAATAATAATAAAAATAATAATAATAATAATAATAATACACTGAAAAAAAAAAAAACCCCAAAACCTCGATTTATAATTTTTACAAGAAAAAATTCGTTTTCCTATAATAATTTACATATAAATTTCTTATTCTTCATTAAGTTAAAACTAACGCAATTAAAGTAATCACAAATTGTAAAGCTTTGCATAAATCAGCACGCACAAAGATTTTAAAAATAATTTTTCATTTGTTTATGAACGTGCCCACTTTGAAAGTATGGCTGACCATAGACGACATTATCAGGAAATAACAGCGATGTCTATAGTAAATTTAATCAACATTCCAAAAATTACATCGATTACTGAGTAATTTAAATTGTTTTCCACAGTGTCTCTGTAGAAGAATAAAGCTCTCGACACCTTTTTCATCACTTGTCAATGCTCGTCAATCATGTAAAACTGTTTTTATCGACAATAACCGTTTATTTTTAAAAATGCATTTGTTATTTTTAACTTAAATATGTTTCAAATAAGATTAATTATATTTTCAAACTGCTAGTATTCCTCAAAGAAAGTTTCAGAAAAGTTTTTTTTTTTTTTTAAATGAAAAACTACTAAAGAGTGAGGTGCTAATTAGCTAAAAAAATAAAACTAAACACATTCCAGTCAATTTAAATTAGTTTTTGAAATACAGTCAAGTCTTTTGCTTCATATGAAATTTAATCTAATTTAAGTCTAAAATAAAAGCCTCGAAGATTTGTTTTTCAGTTTAGGTATCGTTTAAAATTAGGTACCTCCACAAAAAAACAACAACCTTTTCTTTAATAGTATGTGACAATTCTATCGTAACTTTTGTCAATATAGAAAGACAAAATTGTATAGGAACCGAAATGAAATGGTCCGTTATTTATTCGTTCTAAATTCTACGCAGATGCAATCTTTCAACTGACTAATCTGTTGCCAGGTTCTTCATCCGTCGTACAGGAAAAAAAATCTGGATTAAGGATTTTATCTATCGAGAACGTAAATAGATTCATCCTTTACCTATTTTTTTTAAACAAATCTTACAATAAACGGATTTAAGTAACGAATAAGAAACAGATTCACTAGCAATAATTCTTTGTTGGATTATCCTCGTTCGCTTTTGAATTTATTACATGGCTGCACGTAATATTCAATAACAAGTACAATACTTTTCATGACAAAAGATTTTTCTACATTTTTCTACTGTCCTATCTACACTTCCAGAATAAGGCGGGAACTCTTACTATGTTGTTGTGTAGGGAGACTGGACCAAGGAATGCAAGATGGTTAGTCTGAATGCGTTTTGACTCGTGGAGAGCATATTTGCCTTTATTACATTTATACCATGGGGAAACTTCTTCGGTATGCGGTTGTTTAATACATCGAGCACTTAGTCTGACATGAAACGAACTTTCCACGTCAGTGGACCGTCCTGGGTATGACTGTTCAACAGCAAGGCTTCCTATCAGGAGGTTTTGAGGAGCGTGGAACCATCTCTTAATTGCTGGTGACCCGGGGTAGTAGCACCTCTTAGGGTCCCAACTATTGGCGAATAATTACCCCCCCTTCAAACTGGGGTCAAAACACTATGTAAATGTAAAAATAGGTTTTAATACCAGAAATAATTTAAAAAAAAAAAAAAAAAAAAGTATTTATTACCAGCAATATATTTTTGAAAAAAAATTACCAGAAATAAGTTTTGTCGGAATTAAATGAGCCTTCCCTTCCCTCCATTATAATGTCTGACGCTCAACTTCTCGAGAGCAACTCTCTGCGGCTTCTCGGTCTCACGTTGACTGCTGACCTGAGATGGAATAAATACATCGAGTCAATTGCCTCGTCCACTGCGAGGAAAGTTGGCTCCCTGAGCCGCGCTAGGAAGTTTTTCTCCCCTGAGTCGATCCTCCAGATATACAAATCCACAATTCGCCCTTGCATGGAGTATTGCTGCCATATATGGTCTGGCGCCCCTTCTGTTTGCCTCGGGGTTCTTGATAGGCTCCAGAAGCGGATATGCAATATGGTTGGCCCTGCCCTGGCGTCTCGTCTACAGTCACTTTCTCACAGACGCACCGTCGCCTCCCTCTGTCTTTTTTACAAATACTTTCATGGAAGTTTCTCCGAGGAACTGCATTCGCTGGTTCCCAGACTTCATGAGTTCAAGCGCCCTACGAGGCTGGCATCCCGCTCTCACCCCTTTACTGTCGAAACTCCTAAATGTAGCCGTCTCTTCTACTCTAATAGCTTCATGTCTCGCACCTCTCGCCTGTGGAACTCTCTTCCCTTCTCCTGTTTCCCTGTGAGTTATAATCTCCAGCTATTCAAGTGTAATGTCAATCGACATCTCCAGTTGCCCTAATCTATCTACTACCCTCATCCTATTTTCTGTAACCCCTTGCGTCCTAGTGGCTTCCCGCCTTGCTTGGGGTGAAATGCTTAAAAAAAAACCCCAACCCATTGAGGTTGATATGCCGTAAAACAAACCAAACGAAACCACGTCAGTGGATTCGTTTTACAGACTTCAAATTCTGGTTAAGTCTTTCAGTCATGAAGCCATTTCTCCTTCAATAACAGCGTATAGTGGAATCTCTAGCTTTTTGAATTTGAAACTGCTGGAAGAAAGGGCAACCACTCCACTAGGCTTATAAAGTGATTATGGTAATTCATATCTAATAAAAACGAATCTGGAGAGACATCATGGCAATTAAAATACAACTTGCAATATCGGCGAGGTCTTGTTAAATCGAAAAAAAACATGCTGATAACCATCGGTCGACATATGTTCCGTAAGTGAAGTCAACTTCGACGTTCAGAGCAAAAGACTCAGACTGAGATAGTCACACAAAGAAAATTACCTTGTTTAGATGATGAAAAGACAAAAAAAAGTGTCTATAAAACTGACCATCCAGTAAACAGAAGGAATGAAGCGAACCTCGTAGAACGGGACAGGTAAGACGGCCGTTGAACTATCACACTTATGCCTCATCTCTGCTCGCTTACAACAGTAAGTTACAACCCAATAATAAAATGGGGTTTACTGCTGTGGGTAACTATCTAGCCGAAGGTTAATTTTTCTGCCACAAGCGTTTGACTGAAAGACATTGCATCCTGTCAACGAACCTGGCGTCTGGTCTGTGCCGCAACAAGTTTTATATGACGCATCCCTAATATTGGTAGATATGTCTAACGTACTGTTATAAACTAGTATTATAATATAAAAAAATATTGAGAGAAAGAATAGCAAAGAAGTAAAAGAGAGTATTAAAATTAATATTCTTCCTCCCAGTACTTAGAAAAAATAAAAAATAGGTTGGCCCACCTCTGTAACCAGCATCTTTGGTGTGTCGATAAGTGTACTATTAAAAACACGAATTTAATAAAGCACAGGATTTACGTTTCTTAGTTTTCTCGTCTAAAAATTACTCGCCTAGAAGAAAATGTCTTTCTGTTAAGAACAAAATCTCTTCTCGTTACACAATCTTCCGTTTTCTGATCAAAAGTATTGCAATTATATCCAACTTGCTGCATAAATAACATAGTCGCATCGATTTCTTAGTCACTATGTTAAAACGATATCAGATTAGCAAAAGTTATAAAATATGGAAGCAGCAGACGACAACGCCATCGGATTAAAGATTGGAGGAAGTCTTTCATCTTCGCTGGAAAAAGCAGAGTATTTTGATGGAAACCTAAATCTCAGTCTTAAAGCTTAAAACTTGTGGCCAAAACTGGATGATGGATAATCCTTTGTGCGATGAAGCATACTTGAATATAAGATAAGCCATGGCGAGAATCTAGGATTGAGAATTATGGAGGAGTCGAATAGTGAAATGGTAGCTTCGATCGTGATAGCGATAGAATGAACAGCCTGGTGTTTATCAGTCCATACTGCACACAAACGCTACTTAAAATAAATCGTGTAAAGAGAATTTGCCACTTGACAACTGGTACTATACGCAAAATCGTAATATTTCCCTAAGCTTTTTTTTTTTTCCTCCACCATTTTTATCCGACTGGAAAAGCTTCATCTCATTATTCTAATAGTCTTTTGAAAAGCAACCGTGAGTCTATTACGAAATTTTACTAGAGTCAACTGGGACCATTCTTTCAGGGCGTTCTACAACATTTTACACCAACATCTTTTCGCGCACACTTAGATATAAATAATATTGTACTTACCTAACAAATGGCGGAAAACCGCAGAGTAAGATGTAAGTAATAACACCTGCCGCCCACACATCAACTTTAACACCATACCTGAAGAGAGCAAGAGTAGAAGCGAAAAATTGCATCATTTTAAAGTTCTAATCTTGAAAACAGCTTTTATTATTATTATTATTATCATTATTATATATTCTTTTCTACAGATCGCTTGGTAAGCAACGGGATTGTGGAAGGATAACGTAATCAATGTACATAAAACTGATTGATAAGTAAAATGAACCAAAATATAAATTTCATACTTTACAAGATTGACATAAGCAAGAGTTTCGGATGTTTCAGTTCAGGAACCTTCTTCAGGAAAGAGCATCTGTAGGCAGTGAATCGCTCTAAAAAGTTGACTACATGAAAAATTCTTATCAGATCAAAATTAGCAGCCAAAGAGAACAATGAATTGCAGGGTTGAAGTCTCGTGAAGCCAACAAGCCGAGATAACAGTAGCAGCATAGATTAGCAAAGTGCTGCTCGTGTAGAAGCAGCAGACCAACATCCCCATCTTAGAAATACGGCTGAATCAAAAGGTATCCTGCGTTTCCTATCCCAGTTTCAACGGTTTTATTTTTTATGCTCGTCGAATTGAGGAGCTCTGCTCTTTTAAATCAAAGACTAAAAAGATTAAAATTTGAAACCGGCACAACCACCTAGTGAGGATCCTCGATTGTCAAACAGATTCCATTTGGCTTTGAGCAGAATAACACAAAGGTGCTTTATAGAAGGAAGCGTTTTCTCGCTGTATTTAAATAACCTTTACAACGAGGCAATCCTATAAGAGAACTAGAAGTCCTATCAGGATTTATTAACAACTGGGGTATAAATAGACTATATATTAAACAACATGAATTTAGTTAGTACGGAAAACAGAAAGGAGTTGAAGTCGAGGGTGTATCTTCTCACCTGATGTATTTAATTTTTATAGCTATGTAAGAGAACTATAAGTCCTACCAGGATTTATTATTTACTGGGGACAAAGACTACATATGCATAGGGAGGAGTGTGAACCGGACGTTGGGCGAACCTATCTACTTGTGGAACTAATGAATGTAGTTCGTCTGCACCCTTTCCATGGAAGTAGCGTTTCGTCGGTGATAAATAGGTTTACGAATTATAGCTAACGAGATCTGAAATAAGTTATGATGTTTCAACCACAAAACAACGTTTGTCTTCAGGATTATCAGCTGAAGAATTTCAAACTGCCTTCGTGCAAATATAAAATGAATTAAGTACACAAATACAAAGGAGCGTGTCAAAAATGCGTTTTCTCGCTGGATTTAAATAACCTTTACAACGAGGCAATCCTATAAGAGAACTAGGAGTCCTATCAGAATTTATTATCTACCGTGGACAAATAGACTACATGTGTATTTGACATGAATTGAGGCAGTTCGCAAAAACAGAAAGGAGTGTAAGTCAAGGATGGGACTTCTCACCGGATTTAACTTTTATAGTGAGGTAATCCTAACAGAAATAGATGTCCTACCAGGATTTAATATTGGTAGGCATAATCTTTAGCATAAGACATGCAGATGATTGCGCTGATGGCAGTCACAGAAAGAAAAACACAGCAACTCCGACACAAGCAAGATATAAAAAAAAATACTATCAATTGTAAGAAGACAGAATTGATGGTGAAAACATGAAAGGAAAAAGAATTGCTACTTGAACCAAAATAAATCTTCTCATCCGATTTATTCAAACCTATGCAACGAGGCGATTCGAAGAGAAGTCCTACCGGGATTTATTATTTATTGGTGGCCACGATCTTGCTAACGTAAGATACGCTGATGACACTGTGCTGATAGCAGATAGGACAATTGCAGGAAATTTTAGTAAAGGAAGACTTGAAGGAATAACGTTAGAATGTCTGGTCGTCGGTAAAAGTAATACCCCAGGATGATAATTACGAACTCCTTCAAGTTGACTGTTAAGTGTTATAACGGTCGATACAAAATGTCAATCCGAAAGCATATTGGAATAGACAAAGAGCTTTTCAAAAAGCTAAACAAAGTATTAACAGGAAAATTTTCAGAAGAAAAACAAAAATTACGTAATATTTCTCACAGATGAAGAGAAAACTTATGCCAACAAATCTGCTTTTTACAGAATGCCGAGAAAAAACATTGACAGTACATGTAAGCAACGAGGAAGTTTAAGGAAAATTGAGAAATATTTGTACTTAAAGAAAAATGAAGCATCTGCGACACGTAATGAAGGCTTGCAGTATTTGACACTTACAGGGAATATTACGAAGCAGAGCAAAATTGCAACTATCGTATCTAATCGGCTTTTGTAAATGGATAGAAGCACAATCAAACATTTCTAAGAGCTAAAGAGTACAGAAAATGGAGAGCCATAATCACAGATGCTTTCATTACGATCGTTAAGTTTTTACTTTGTGATTAATGTTTCTCTGATGCGGTAAGTAAAGAAGTATTTGACGTCCTAAAACTTCATACGGTAAGTCAGACAGATGCTCACCCTTTCTCGGCTAAAATATCCGGAGCGACGTATGTTGGGGTCCCACAAACAACGAAAAGGGGTTCCTTAACTTCAGTGGCGAGACCAAAGTCTCCAAGTTTTAGTGTCTTTGTACCATCGGCTGCTTCGCTGACCTGGAAGAGAAACAAAAAAACACACACTTGAGTAGACTTGATGGCCATTACATTACGTGTTAATTTCACCCCAAGCAAGGCGATAATGCCACTAGAACTCGGAGTGGGGTTACAGGGTGTGAAAAAGACTTTAGCGAGAAGTGAAGAAAGGACAAAAAAGATACAGGATTCAGAAAAACTGAAGATGGCGATTGACGTTGCATTTAAATCTTTGAAGATTGTAAGTGGCAGGGAAGCAGAAAATCTAAAGGAAGTCCCACAGGCGAGAAAAGAAACTATTAGAATAGAACCTACGGTTGCATCTAGCTAGTTCGACAGTAAAACGGTGAGACATAATTGCCAATCTAGTAGCACGATGATCTAAGAGAAGCTCATCAGAACAATTGCCATTAAAATAGTTGTAGAAAAGACAGGAAAAAACCACCTCACGCCGATGAGAAAGTGACTGAAGTCAAGATGCCAGGTCAGAATCGATTATATCCGAGACCTTTCTTTGAAATTTATTAGGAATTTCAAGATATATAGCAGGAACACCAGACATGATATGGCAGCAATATTCACTGAAATGGCAAATGATAGATTTATTCATGTACTACAAGGAGTTGGGTGAGAAGAATCGTTTGATACGATAAATTGAACAAACTTTCTTAGCAGTAGACGAAGCAATTCATTCAATACAATCTTTGTACTTCATGTCATTGGAACACGTGAGCCCAAGAAGTTGCAAAGCGTTGCTTTCTTGGAGTTTAGCACCAGCCATGCTGATGGCAGGCAGAAAAACTCCTGTAGTGATTACATGAAAGCAGTTGTGTTTTGGGGACGTTAAAACTTACGAGTCATTCCTTGCTCCAGTTAATCATTGGTTGAAGTCCTTTTTCGAGAGCAGCTGCCACTTTCACTTTGTAGCAAGTTCGACAGGAGTATATAGTTGTCTAGATAAATACCGAGTTATACAGGTTGAAGTGATAAAATAGGAAGATGTTTATGCAATGCGTTTCTTTCCTTTACGTACTTCGAAGGAAAAACTACAGATTATATAATTATAAAACAGAGGATATGTGTTATAACTTTTCACTTGAGATCCATCCAACCGATTTTGACCAAATTCAGTACATTGTAAGGGATAGGTTCTTAGCGTAATAAGGCGATAATTTTTAAATAATCAATAAAGCCGTTCAAAAATCGATAAATTCGACCTTTTTCCTCAGATTTCGTTCAAACACGGTATGTAGGTTACTTATATCATGACGAGCTCAACGATACCTCATTTTTATTTCTAGGTCACTGCGTTTAGCGAAAATCGTGAAAAATCGATTTCAACAAATTTTAAACTAAACTCCCTCAATTTTCAAGCATTGTAATACCAACTTCATTCATTTAACATGATAATCGAGTTCACCCATATAGTGAAAACCCGCGTAAATAGGAAAAAATGGCAATTTTTACTGGTTTCTTTTTTTTTTTCCTTGATATTTTAACCAATTTTTATCAAAATTAACAATTACTTTATAAATGTATTCTCTTTTACATCCCTGGTAGCACACTGACAAATTGAATGTCAAAAACTCTAAAATAATTGTGGTCTGAAGTGGGTCTTCATGTTGCCTGTTTTACCCCTTCATGTCCTCGGCTAACTTCGATTAAATGAATACAGACTACATCTGTTATATCAGCAACTGCGTTAATTAAAAATGTTTTTAATGACAGCACCTTAAAGTAATTGAAGAAGATAGACCCTGTTGCATCTAAACATGATGCCGTTTTTGCTCCATTCTAACTGAACGCTTCTTCTGATCGACCAACTGGATATGGCTGCTAGTCAATAATAAAAATCTATTTAGACACATTTACTTAACGATAATTTTTCTGTACGTTCAAGTCTGAAAATATTTGACAAAGTTTCATCATCAGGAAAGCTGTTTCGACTTGAAGACACTGCAATTTCTCATCTTCAACAACTTTAGAAATAAGTTATCAGCCCTTTTCAAACCTCCTCTTATTTTGTGAATTTACAAAAGTACTGCAGGTCTTCCAACCTCTTCAAAGCTTTTAATGGGAACGATTGACTGATATTAGAAAGGCTATCGATAGAATTCAATATGTAAACTTTGGCTGCTCGTCAAATGCATACGGATATTTTTCTTCCATTTGGTATGAGGACAAGACTATTTCTTTAGGTATTAACTTGTTGTCAAACTCCGATATTAAAGTACTTCATTGATTTCAATTTCTTTGAGACAACGTACATCCATATAACTATCAACGTATCCTGTCCTCCCACCCACAATTCCTCTAATATTAAATTCTTCAATGGTAAAAATAATCCAACATTTAAGTAGATGAGATATATAAAATAACCAAAGTCATTACATTCTGTAAAAAAAACATCCAACGGTATAGAGGGGGGGAATTATGGAAGACTGTATATGATATAACGTTTGTTGTGCTGGTAATCAAGAGCGAATTTACTTATATGTACTTCTATGTAGTAGCTGTCTATATTTCTGAGATGAGGTATTATGTATGTACATTATTCGGACTATTGTCTTCATCTTAGTCGCAATATTTATTACAACGTTTCGGCCGTTGTACGCTCCGGCCTTCTTCAGGTGGTTGGAATGTCGAACTGAGCCCTTTATTTCGCTCACTGGGGTTAGACTGTTCTAGTTCCACGTGCCATGTTTAATGGATGCCAGTTATCAGTTATCTCCTGGCGTGGCGTGGAAATGGAACAGGTCTCAGCGAAATAATGGGTTCAGTTCGACATTATTCAAACCTGATTCCTTTTGGACAACGGCCTTACAATAATATGGCGCTGGAAAGATGGTCAATAATATCAAATAATGTAAAATGTTCTATGTAGTAGATTTTATTTTTTTTTTTTTTTTTTTTTTTTTTTGCGCTATTACTTTGACATATTTTTACCCCGCACCCTTAGGGTTGGGGTTTAAAACAAAATTATTTTTAAATCGAGATCTATATTTTAATTTAAATATTATTAACAATAAAACTACAAACAGAACCGTTTCCGGACTGTCGTACCTGGGGGCAAACCGTTTCTGAATGACAGGAAGCTACGGCGGGGGTGGGGGTCCGAAATGTAATAGAGCCATTTTGTTCTTGTAGTTGTTCAGAAATATGCTAACTTAGGAAAAAGCATTTCTCTCCCACACACAGCTTACAGAATATTTCATAGAGACTCTACTTTCGGATAGTGTGGAGGGGGGGGGATCAGACAGACAGACTCGTATCATTAAGTTATCAAGGGTGTTGTACTTACCAACAAGTTTTCAGGTTTAACATCTCGATGGACAATTCGCGCAGCGTGAAGATAATGAAGGGCGCTTAACATATTGTTTGCCATTCGACTGGCCATTTTCTCTGTGTATTTTGTCGCTGTGGTGATCATTTCAAACAAATCGCCTCCCTAAATGAAAAAAAAAACAACAAAAAAAAACAAAAAACGAAATGGTTATTCGAAAATAAAAAAAAAAAACTCAGGATTTAGCTTCTCTACAGCCAAACTTACTAATATTTCTTCTGCTACCGTTGACCTATATGGAAATGCATATACATTTGCTTATCAACTTTAGCAGTAAATAGTGAAAATATTTCAAGTGTGACCGTGCCGGTGATCCAATAGAGAATTGCAATGAGAAATCGGCAACCCCAGTTCGAATTCCGCAGCAATTTGTTACAATCAATTTCGCATAAATACACATTTGAAACATGGCACAGGGGGGGCTGGACTCTATAACCATTTTTGACCACCAGTATAAGAGAAAGGCTAAAGCATTTTAAAACTGTTGCTAATGGGGCACATGCATAACTAATATCTGCTTTGTAGGTTGTTGAAGAGAAAAATGGGTCCCAGTAGATGGAAATGCTTTGAAACGAGAGAGGGAGGGGGGGACCAAAAATATTGATTGGCAGTGTGACCTCAAGTCACACACTCAGATGATTGTGATTGCAGTTCTCATTGATACAGGGTGTATCAAAAATACGTTTACATAATTTACAGGCAGGTACTTCATACCAAAACAAGGGGAAAAAGTATACATAAATATGTCTGCAAATCTTTTGAGTTAAATTTAAAGTTGATGGTAGATGCTGTTAAATGCACAATCAGATAAAATCCCAAAAAATACTTTCAAACATTGGTGGGTGGGTTCCCGATTCTACCGCAAACTCTTTTAAAATTAAATATTAATCTTAAATAAAGTTTACGTTAGAATCAGGAAACCGCCCCTAAAGGTTTTTTTAAAAATAGTTTTGGATTGTATCTTTGCTTTTACGTTTAACAGCGTCTAACGTAAAGTTTAAACTTAACTGAAAAACGAAGGATTTCTCGACATGTTCATATGAACTTTTGTCCTTCTTTTGGTGTCATGACACCGCCCCAAAAGTTTGTAAAAAGAATTTTTGATACACTGTGTGTGTGTGTATATATATATATATATCTCATGAATCCCGTAACTCTTTAGGGTCGTAGGGGCACAGCATGTACTGCAGACGCAGTAGAAGTGGTGTCTTGGGCTCCGTCATATCTTGCCCAACCCTCCCCACGCTGGTTTGAATTCAGTTTTCTTTCTCAGACACCGGTTGCCACCTCAAGGCTATAGGACCTAATCTTGCCTGCTATTTACCTATAGTTAGATATAATATAATAGAAATATGAAGTTTACATTGCGCCAACCTGAAATCAATCTTAACTGCAAATTTGAGTCCTTAAAATAGGTTGGATGCAGTAAAAATACCACCATATTATATATAATTTAAAGAAAAAACAGACTACTTTTAAGGTTCCATCAGTTATAATTTATTTAAGATATTTTATATTTCTCTGGATCTTCAGACTTCACTTTCAAAGTTGAAAAAATGAATTTAAGATTTACACTTTTGAAGGGCAGTATTAAGCTTATGAGGTGAACAAAAAGGTTAGTGAGGCGTAGTGTGAGAGACATGGTTGAGTTTAGAGAGGGAAGGGAGTTTTAAAATTTATTTTTATTACAATACTTAATATTGAGGAGGATGGGGGTAAGGATCAGACATTGATCTATTTAATCGGTTAACTCACTGGAAATGATATAAGGGAAGGGGGGGGAAGAAAATGGGGGGCGTAAAGATATAAGATGTACGTAGGTTTTTGGAGGAAGGGGAGGGGTGGTATAGCTTTAGCAATTTAGATAAACGGATCTTAACGTTTGATAGTAATTTAAATGTTTAAAAACTCCAAATAAATTAGATTTAATGCTTGCTAGCAATTTAAATATTTAACTGCTCCAAATAAATTAAGGATTTTATATAAACAGAATATATTAATAACCAAATAAAAAATTTACTAATTTTAATATTGTGAATAACTTAAGGTAAAATATTTATTAGTTAGTCTAATTCATCAATTTAATCTGAAGCTATTTTAGATGAGTAATATTTCTTAGTTTAAGTTTCAAATCAAGATTGAGTAAGATTGGAAGGTAATAGTAAAAAATCTACTGTTTACATCCACATAGCACATAGTTACGTAAATACATCCATATATATTCATATACAATTATTTACATACAAGAGAGCTCATTTTGGAAATATGGCAACACTTTAGAGATATTTCCCCTATTCTGTTCTTGAAAATATTGTTTAAAAGTCAAATATTCGGGGAAATAAAGGCAAAAGAAACATTAGTTGGAGGCTACAATTGTTCAAAATGGCAATATTATAGCTCAAAGTGGGTGAACGTGGTTTGTTTTAACTAGTGCCATGATTGTGGCCGGATGATCAAAAACTACAGGAAAGTTTTTGAGTTTAAATAACCGCATCGTAACAGGCGGGGAGGGCATGAGTTTCAATTACCAAATTTAATGATCGGCATAATTAAGCGATGATGGGTGGCCGAACTTAAGAGCATGGAATCTGCGACCATATTTTAAGTTCTGTCTTGGACTGTTCGAACAAGTGTTCTCGGGATGTAGTGGAGGACCAGGAATTACTCGCTGCCACTATGTGAAAACAGCAGGGCTTTTGAAGCCCTTTAACCCTGATATGATTATGACAAAATGCGCATTACGATATATCTCGGGAAGGAATTGGCGGTCTGTCGTGTGTGTGTGTGTGTGTGTGTGTGTGTGTGTGTGTGTGTGTGTGTGAAGGAGTGGGGGCTTAAATCTCATTTAATATCGCCTCTTATTTCTTTTACAGTTTGGGTCTATAAACGTGTAGATTTACTTACAAAAGCACTATCCACAACGTTTAATAAATGATATTTGCTACGGACCAATGAGAATGAAGCAACAAGGCAGTTAAAAACAAAAATAATAAATTATATATAATAAAAGAAAGTGAGAGAGAAACTGTCTAAATAAAAAAAATTAAATAAATGGCGAACTGTACCGACCTTGACGAGTTCCATAACAAGAAAAATTCTATCCGGAGAATCGAACTCTTCAATAAGGCGGATGATGTTTGGATGTTTGGCCCTGCGGAGGATCGATACCTCATTTTCAATCATTTGCACCTGCCGAACGAAAATCAATACTGAAATAGTGTAACTAAGCAGAGAATATAAAAACACAAAAAATCATGGTCATCTTCCATCTGATCTCCATTAAGATTAAAAAAAATTACCTTACAGTAAAATTCGCGCGTAGAAAACTGGCGAGTTTAACCATTTTTTATCCCTTTGTTTTGACCTTATGTCAGACTTTAGGGCATTTTTCTACATTAGTAACTTTATTCCCGAGTGCCACATTTGTATGCGAAAGTTAAATATTAATGCATGAAATAATTACAGAAAGTAAGCAATGATACATTTGGCATTTGCATTCTTTCGTGTTTAACACACGTTGTATACAAGAACAGGACATTGTTGATAACCAATTAAGCATTTAATGACCTTAACAACTGGAAATAGTCACATACAACTTACGCAAATCAGCCTAACTAGGCCGGAACACTTGAACGGAAACGGAAGACACAGCGATTTAAAATCTCCTGGTCGCTATGAATACCAAGAAGCATTAATTGTAATTCAGTTTCTTTTCCTTCTACACAGAGCGAGTCCGTATTTTTTTTTTTTTATTAGTCTAAATGGATATTGTAAATTTTAAGGATAAGGTAAAATATTGCCAAAATAAAATTCTCAATGACACCCTTGTGCAAATTAATTATAGAAGATGTGGAAAGCCATGATCACCTACACCTTTGTGCAAATTGAAACAAAACGAATAATTCCGTTATTTACTTTTTCGTATTTTTTTTCCAAAGAAACATGGCCCAATGCACACGTTTATTTCGTATGTTTATTCCATGAAGTCGTTCCTTGCAGATTGACCACAGATTCTCGATTGGATTTTCCGAGCCAGTCGATAGTACTTAGATTTCCTTACTGGCAAGGCTTGCCAGTGTGCTTGTGCTGCGTTACAATTTTCGTACGCTTGAAGTAAAGTCCATCGCAGACAATAGCCGTAGGACAACTAACCTATAGTCGAGACAATAGTGTCTGAGCATGATGAAATCACGGATGACGCAATATTATCAAGGCCAGACAAATTTCATCACCACGCCCCGAAAATAGATTCATATTACAGCACACCACTGCAAATGACCTAATCTGAGGAAAAAAAAAAAACTATTACATCGTCACTCCAGTGGGTCTAAAACTGACAGTATGGTGAAAAAAATAAATAAATAAATAAAATAAAATAAGAAACTAAAGCTGTTGTTTCAATTTGCACAAGGGTGTATATTCTCAATCTAATCTAGTAGTTCTAAACCTGGGGTCCGTAAAACAATTTCACTTCCAAACGAAAATTTTTACACTTGAGAATTGGAATTTCTACAGTAATCTACGCCATATTTAAAAAGATAAAAAAGATCAAGCGATGTAAGTGTTTATTGTAAAAGTTGAATAAAAACTGAGGATATAAAGATTATAAAATACTAATATTAATATAAATTAATAAAATATGAAAATAAAATTAATATAAAAAAGATTAATAAATTTAGTATAAACTCTATAAAGTTTTATATATCAGACTTAAAATTAGGAAAATAATTCAACACCAAGGTTCTGATTCTGAATGTGCTTTTATGGCACACTGACTCCTATATAATGGTCATAAAGTGCCAAACAAACAGATACAAGTAGATTCTCATAATCTTTAATCTGTCTCCATCCTGGATTGTTATATAGTGCCAAAGAAGTCTTTAAATAGATTTTTCTTTGTTTATTGCACAGTGACCGAATAAGGTTCAGCAAAAGACGACACATTTCAGTCTTCAGTTAAATCGCTTTAGTAGCTACAGTCTGTGGCCAGATATTGAACTCACAACTCTTTGGGTCAAGTCAGTTTTAGATTACTTCAACCAACGCTTTTATCCACTGGGTCATGTGTTCCAAGAACAATAAAGATGGAGACAACAATGTAAATTGTGTAAATAATTTATCTCTTCTTGACCGACTCCAGATCTTCGCACAACGCTCATCAGGATCAGATTGTCTGATAAGTCTATTGCATTATTAACAGATATTTATAGTCTACAAAAGTAAACGTTCATCTTAGACTCCAAATTTCAGTTCACCTCACTCGGTTAAGAATGTGGCAACATTGAAATATTTACAATTTAAAAAATATAATCCTGTAAGAGATCTTAAATAATTTTGTGTTTATTTATAAATACAAAAGGAAAACTTCTTTACCAGCGCGTTTCGTCCTAGTTAAGGATTTTATTTTGAAACATGTATTTATAAACAGGTTTTCAACATTTTTAAGTTTTAAGAATGCTCATAAATATTCTTAACGCTTACCGTAAAGGTCAAAATAAACTATGGAGGACACTAAGTGATGTAATTTAATGCCTAATAAACGAAAAGTGTTGTCGAGTTTTCCTTTTTTTTTCTTCTTTTTTTTTTTTTTTTTTTTTATTTACTTTCATATAATCCGTAATCAAATGCGCTTGACAGATCATCTGACAAGTATGGAGGATGACAGATTTACCAAGACTTTTTCAATGTGAGCTGGTACAAGGTAATCGACCAGCTCATAAGCCCCCAAAACGTCTCGAGGATGCAGTTAAATGAAACCTAAAGATTCTTGGCGTTATGTTGAAGAACCGGAAATTTTTGCTGGAGACAGATCTGGCTGGAGGCGGTTGATTTGGAAGAGCTGCAACGATTTTGAGCAGGAAAGAATTAAGCATTCCAACAAAGTGTGCCATTAGGAAAGGAAGAAATAAAATCCATCCCGGAGCTTTTATGACTCCAACACACTTGCAGTATTTGTGGAAAAGTCATCCACTCTGTGGCTGGTTCACCCACTCACATGAAATCACACCAGAAAGGTCAGGTGCAAACTCCTGTGAATGCAACTGCTACCAGAAATGCCTGCACTTTGTTTTGTGACAAGGTTTGTAAGTGTTGCAGGACTCAAATGTTACACGATTGTACACACAGGCAAGTTTCCACCATAATTAATACAAACTTTGTTTGCTAATTGTGTAAGAGACGTTGTAAAAGGGAGCCATAGTGCGTTAACTCTACTATAAATGGAGGAAATACAATTCTGAATAAAAAAAAAAATCTACCAAGTGAAGAGATGGTCTTCTACAAAGAAGTGACAATATACGTTTCATTTACTTACGTTACTTGAACAAGTTGTCTTGTTAATAATTTTCAAGGCGTACGCAATGTTGTTTGATCTGAAGAGAGAAACATTTACTTTTGAACAAAAACTTGAAAAATTGAAAATTTGTTACAGCTTTCATTTGACTAACAAAGCTGCTGTTACAAAATGAGATCTTGCCCTGCTTCGATAAACGGAAGTTACCATCACGAGTCTGACTCTAAATGAAAACTGCACTTCTACGCATAGGCTCGACGCAGATACTTCCGTTTTGGATAAACTCAAAAAAAAAAAAAAAAAAAATCAACCAATCGGACCGTCTCCCGCGTAGTCAAAAAATTGCCATTTGGAGCCGATAGGCGTGTATAAGTTCAACACGGGAAAGTCAAAAGGAGTCCCATTCAACGGAGGCAGAAGGGTCACGTCGCTCGCTCCTGACACACTGGCCCGGCGACGGACGAAGCATGTGACTGCTGCTGCTAATGAACTCTCGTCCGACGCCTTGTCAAAGGGTACCTTTCCCCTTCCATAAGTCAAGTTAACTCCACGAACTTTACTTGCCACTACCATAGACATTCGACTTAAATACGAACTTTTTACTTGTTCTTTTCCTCACTAAAAGAGACTATAAAATATATCTACAGTCTTTCTTGTTCTTTCAATTCCGAATTTCATTGTTTGCAACCAAACGCAGTATTTCGCCCACATTGTTTTCACATCGCCCACGCATCTAAATACGGAATATAACACTGCTTTGCCACTTGCAGAATATATAGTGCGAGTGACAAAACAACAAATAGAAATAATTACATTTATTCTCCATAAAAGACAATTTTGTCCGAAGGGGGAGAGGCTGTTCAACACTTACTATCCTAAACCTAGCTAATCAGATTCACAACTCATCCATCGATTACAATTTACATTCATCACAAGAACTCACCCATCGTCATTCAATCCGACATTTATTCCAATACCACGTGTTCACAGGGAACCTACAAAAACATACATGGCATAAAAAAGATTAATCATGTATAAATGTATTTCCTTACAAAAAATGCTTAAAAGATATGATCATAAAATGAAGGGTGAAGTGGAACCTGACACGGGGTGGTAGCATCTATTAGGGGTGCCAGCTGTGGGCAAATAAAACAAAAAAACTGGCGCCCAAAGCACTATGAAAGTAAAAAAAAATAATTTTTTTCAGTAAAATTAGCAACAATACTAGTTAAAAGAAAAAAAAAATTCACCACTAAACGACCAATAACTAGTTGATATTCGGTTAACCAAACCAACCTTGACTTCGAAGTGTCCTTTCCACATGTCCTACAAAATTTTCCCATGTATCTGTTTTTAATTATTTCTAATATTTGAGATTTCTAGTGCCCCTCGTTGCATTATTGTCTACTTTCTTCACCACCATACTTATCTTGCAAAGGGACAAAATTTAGTAAAGGCCATTAATAATAATACCGCTAGTCATTAACCCTCCCTATCAAATATAGATATATTTGAATTTAAATTTAAGAGAATATTGTTTTCTTGCATTAAATAGCTGCTGTTTACTTAATATCGTTTGGCATAAAGCCATGGTTGTGATGAGGGCATTCAAGGAGAGTACATAGAAACCTGGGAGTTCAGGTGAGGGTCGAACTCACTCCTTGGTAGCCAACCAGACGAGCTATTAACAAATTACTGATGCCAAGGCATTCGAATTGATTAAACCATCATATGCAATGGCATTTTTTCCTGTTAATTTGTAAACTCAAAATGAAAGCCAAAAATGCGTGTAGTGTTGTTAAGTGTCTTGTTATATCTAATATGGTGAACCAAGTAGAAATTATAGCCACAAGGGGCATTAAAAAAAAGCTAAAATATTAGAAATAATCCAAAACAGGTACATGGGGAAAATTTTGTAGGACATGAGGAAAGGGTACACCAAAGTCAAGGTTGATTTGGTTAATGGAATATCAACTCCTTTTGTGTCATTTAGTGTTTAAATTTAATTTTCTTGGGAACTTTGGTTAATTTGCAGTTTAACACCTACACTCAGTTCGCATTAAAAAAAAATCCAGAATACGTACATTTAGGTGTAATTATACATGCTTCATTCGAAACTGGCTTGATAAATTTGAAAAAATCTACCGTTTTGGAGTTATCGACAGTAAAAGTTCGGATTCATACGCGTCGTTGGCGGCAGCCATTACTAGAGTTGTTTACATACATTCACTGCAGAATATCTATTACTGTAGGTATTACTGCGCAAACTGAGCGTGTCTATGTAAATAGTTCCCGTGCGCAGTAATTGAGACAAATTTAGACAAGAAAGATCAGTTCCGCGCTTAGCTTTCCGCAGAGAATAATGAATGCGAATAACGCGAGTAATGGCTTTCACGCACAGAGAGACAGTGACACAGACACAAAAGTAGCGTGTAAGAGTAAATTAGTTTCCTACCTCAGTCGGCATTCACGTACAACAGCAAAATTTCCTTCTCCAATCAATTGTCGGACTCCATATTTGCTTGTCAGACTCGGTGGGTAACTTGTATTTTCTGAAATAGGCGAGGAAAAATCCTTAGGTTTTAAATAGATTTGTTCCGTATATTAAAGAAATCACAATTAGATGCAAAGAAAAAAAAAATCAGACTTAAAATTAGGAAAATAATTCAACAAAATGGTCGCATCTAAAAATCGGGAACTTTTCTTTAACAAAAAGGTTAAAAGAGGATGGAGTAAAGCTTAGTTTGTTCGTGAGAATATCGTTGTACATTTATGACTACATATCAGGTCGAACGTGATCTTCAAAATCGTGTCAGTAAACCCTGAGATATTTATTCTGTGCTGATATGATGAGAAATGGCAAATTACACGCGTGCATAAAATGAATGTGTCTATAGGTTGACATCTAGAAATAGAAGTACAAGGGTTAAATTGAATGTAGACTCTCAAAATTGAGTTGTTTATCCATTCGAGAAGGGAAAGACGAGAGTTGTCTGCAAATAACCTTTAAATGACGAGTCAGCAATTAACTCTGATTGGTTCTTTGATGATTAAGTAATTACGCGCGAGTCGAATGATTACTCAATTGACAGGACCCAAAAAATGTGAGTTCAATACCTGGTTATGGCTTTGTGCTAGCACAGGTATCGACGGTCCCCAAATGTTCCGTCTACCTAATTTCACTGACAAGGCTTGGGTGAACCCGTGGTATGGTTTTCAGGCAACCTTTCCAAAGGTGCCGCTTGCTGCCCCCCACCTACAGACCGATAACATCAGGAAGTCCACTTCCTGACAAATCGACCGTGGTGAAATTCGGACCCGTATCTGCATACATACAGACACACGTAGTTTTTTCACGAGCATAGAATCAGCCCTTCTTTTATAATAATAGATTCTGTTGATGGGTTAGATTATGAGAAGGCAGTCGGGTTGAATACTTTCAAATCCTCCCTCGTATAAAACTTACCGTCATAAGTTCCATTGGCACAGGATTTGTCCTGAAAATATAAGTTTAAAACTTTGAAATTTGTACTCTTTAAGTAAAAGGAAATAGTTTTTGAATGAAAGGAAAAGTTGGTTCAAAAGAAAAAAAACTGCATGACAGAGCGGGTAAACGGGTTGCCCGATTGTCAACAAATGGTACGAGTGCAAAACTGAAGTTAATACTGTGGCAAACGGCCCTATCCCCATCTCTGCCCATCCAAGCAAGATAGCAGACGCCTCCGTCCAACCAAGAAAGCAGGATCTAAATTCTGCCTGGACGTAGATTACTATTTAACCCATAGCTAAGAGGAGGAGATGGATTCATACATCTCCCAGATGGTATTTGTGCGTAAGTGTAACAAACCCAACTGGAATTCAAACTTGGCTCTCCGATTCTCATCCCAAACCGCTATCCCTTACCCTACACGCACATCCACCTAGAAAGGTGACTTCATTGTCACCAAGTGTAGAATCGGACCTCGAGGTATGTGGATAGCTGCGCAGACATGTACATTAAAAGTGAACTCAGCTGAATTTAGTATATACGTTAATATTTACGATATATATTTATGAATTTCAGCTCAGTACTAGATTGGCAGCTAGGTCTCATCAATTTACACTTGAACTGGCTAGATGTAAACGTAAGTTTCATGCTCAGTTTCTTCTCTCGCATTTCTCGTTTGTGGAACTCTTTTCATTTCTTGCTTTCCAGACAACTTTGATCCTCAAAAATTTAAATGTAATGTCAATCGTTATTTTAAAGGTTTTTCTTTTCCCCATTATTTATAATACAGTAACCTTCCTTGTATCTTAGTGGCTTTATTATCTTGCTTGGGGTGAAATAATTGAAACAACAACACCCACACACAGACAGCCGGATGACAGGAAGTTATATAAACGCCTCACCCACGAGGCAAAAGTTAAGTCTCCTGGAAATGGAATATCAACTCCTTTTGTGTCATTTAGTGTCTAAATTTAATTTTCTTGGGAACTTTGGTGATTAATTTTCAGTTTAACACCTACACTCAGTTCGCATAATAAAAAAAAAAAAATCCAGAATACGTACATTTAGGTGTAATTATACATGCTTCATTCGAAACTGGATTGATAAATTTGATAAAATCTACCGTTTTGGAGTTATCGACAGTGAAATTACGGATTCATACGCGTCGTTGACGGCAGCCATTACTAGAGTTGTTTAAAGATGTTTGAAGAAAGACTTGAAATAAAATACCCTTGATTCGACTAACATTAATTTGAAGTCCAGAAGTGAATAAATGATTATTTTCTGTATGAAAAATTTACTTAGACGATACTAAAAGGTAGCGTTATACAACTAGTGTGTCTTGAATAGCCGAAAGCTTTTGATAAAAAAAATATGGACCCACCAATAACTACTACGAAAATAAGAAAAGTATTTGACACACACGAACCTTTTTTTACTCAAAAATCTATTAAGGGATATGGATATATTTTTTGAAAATCCACTTACATCTCCAGTATTCTTGCGTCTTTGTCTTGGAGATGCAGTTCGAGAGGAATCGGTGGAAGAATGTTTAGAACGACTATGAGACGGTGATCGGCTGTGGGGTGATGTGGAATCTGCAAGAAAGGAGAACATTTTTGATGCGACACCGGCGTGACAAAGATTTCATTTAGTAGGTTGAGTTATAAGTAATTTCCGTTTTATGTCACCACTTGTAACAAGGATTATATCATCGTAACTAGTTTACTTAAGAATACCTTTGTAGAAAACTATTAAAGCTCAGAACGGCAATTGCAACATACACAGAGGATTAAGAAATAAATTTCTTAACCCCACTAACGGAAGGTTTAAAACTGCCTTTACGCCACATAATGTTATGAGGGTACAAGCAAGGGAGTAATGCTATGGCGGGGTGGCATTTAGAAAATATGCAGTGTTTATGGTCAAAGAATTATAGATGGCGGAAATGTACGGAATTGGTCTGCAAAGCTTCATTTCTGGAGAAACGTTGTTGGAATTTGATGTACAAGGTCCAAGAGCCACTCTAGTTAGTTACAGAGTAATAGGCACCACAGGAAATGAAAGAGAAAGAAAAGATTTCAGGAAGGACCAAAAACACAATTCTACATAGAAAACAAGGGATAAACATCTCTTGCAGTTCAAAAGGGCCTGGTAGTAGTTTGATCAGGACAATAGGCGAACCTATCTACTCATATTAAAGTCAGTGGAAAACAAACCACGGCAAAGTACTCGGGAATTAGTAAAAATGTTAAATATATCACAGTCTACACTCTGCCGACACTTAAAGATCAAGATAGGGAAAGTCAGCAAGCTGGGTGCTGGGGTTCCACACACTCGTAGCAAAGAGAGCCAGTAAGTACCCGACTCCTCCTGTTACCCTCTACAAGAGCCAGAACAGGCCGAAAATGGAGTACTACTGCCATATAATGGAAGGAGCTGCCAAGTTTTCACTTTTCAGTCTCGATAGTCCAGAAGCGTCTCCGCGTCCTTATGGGTGATAAATTATTTTCCAATAATATATATAACGCCAATCGGATCATTGATAGACTAAAACAAGTTATTACGGTGGTTGTAATTTACAATGAATTTTGTTTCATTGTCCTTGAAATTTGCTAATTTTAATCTGGCACAAGGCCAAATGAAACAATCCCGATCGTAGCAAGATAATGTTGCGCCAGTAATTAAGAGTTAGAAAACCTTTATTTAAACTAGACAAAAACGAATACTGTTTATTCAAATAAAAAAACGCTTTTGCACACCTTTAGAAAAAAAGGAATAGAAACCATTTTTTTGTTTGTTTGATTCATTTTTCATGGCTTATCAACCCTTTCTAGCTTATTTAAAGCCAGAAAATATTTTTAGATTGTAAAACTTTTTTTGAGATAATGATTTAGGGATAAAAGTCTTACTAATTAACCCATAGCTACGAGGGAAAATTTGGATTCATACCTACTCCGAATTTGGTAAAAGAAATTATGTACATATAAAGTAGGGGATCAATTCTATATTCCAATAAATACATAAATTGATCCTTGACTTTGTGGCCAAGATAGTTCTATACATTTATATTCCAGAAAATGTAAATTAATCTAAAAGTCATGTCTGCGTAGCTAATCCGTATTTCATTGATTGACTGAACGATTCGTTTTCTTCGACTTGTCAACTCTTTTTAGGTTCAGTATTTACATTAGTCGGACTATTGTCCTCATCTTTGTCGCCATATTTGTCACAACGTTTCGGCCGTTGTACGCTCCGGCCTTCTTCAGGTAGTTGGAATTTCGAACTGAACTCTTTATTTCGATCACTGGGGTAGACTGTTCTAGTTCCACGTGCTATGCCTGATGGATGTCTCTAGTTCCAAGTGCCATGAAATATAGACACTCTTTTTAGGTTTTTTTAAAACCAGAAAATATTTTTAGTGTAAGAATTTCTTTTTTTTTTTTATATATAATAATGTTTTAATGATACAAATCTTACTAATTAACCCATAGATAGGGGAAGAAGAGGTGGATTCATGCTTTTTCCAATGGTATTTGTGAGTAAGTGAATATAACGGACCCAACTGGGATTGGAACTCGGCTCTCCGATTAACAATTCCGAGCCATTATCTATTACATCTCCCAAACATCCAAGCTCACAGCACTTGGTATTCCCAAGCTGTCATCCATCTAGGTACTGATCAAGCTCGACGTTGCTTAACTTCGGTGACCGTGTGCGAACCGGTGTTTCAAAGTGATGTGTCCGTAAGCCGAACAGGAAGCGACTGTTGTTGATGGTGGTTTAATTGGAGAAAGCGGTCGCCATTTTGCGTTTCGAACAGAGTACATGTGCTTCATATGTTCTTGTATGGTATTGAAGCTGGGCGTTGTCGAAAAGAAAAAGGAGAGGGGGAGAAAAGAGAGAACGAGAAAAGAGGGGGAGACAGGGTGGGAGGGAGAGAACGGAAGTTAGTCAGTGACAAGGAGACTTTGAAGGCCAATCAAATCGGCAACCGCATCGAAGAGGAATAACATCCAAGAATAGAAGAATGAGAATAAAAGAATGAGATTAAAGGAATAGAAACAAAATTTAGTTTCGGATAATTATCATTCCATAGGCTTAGTTTTAACGTATAGCCACAGAAGGATGGCTCACTCACTGATCTACAGAACTGGCTTGTTGACCATTACACCAAGATGAGACTACCTACCAACTCGCGGGTTTCAAACAATGTCACAACAGGGAGGAGCCGTACATGCAAGTGGTGCCAGAAATTGTCCAGTTCTCGCGACACATCCCTTTTAGGGTGTAGGGGTGGTGGTTACGCAAGAGAAATTGTTAACAGTGTTCCATTTCTGGTTGAGATTGTTATATTGACTTGCGCACAAATACTCTTACGTAAGATACGAAACCATCTCATCTACCCCTCAGCTAAGGGTTAAATAATAGGACAGTGAGCTCTCTAGCTGCGACTTGGTAGCCAGTCTAAGAGAAGTAAAAGTTTCAATGTAAAACGGCTTCGCGTTCCAATTAAACCAGGAGTACATCTTGCATTTCACTCCATTGTATGTAGAGTGAAATAGTTGTGGGGCAGACAGTAATTTTGTTCTCATCTGCTTACCTTCATCTGTCCAGAGTATATTTAAATCTGAATTTAAACCAATAAATTCTCCACTTAGCAGAGAACTATCCAGCTTTTGAACATTGGGTATATCAACCTGGCCGGGATTCAGGCAACAGAACCTTTTTTTTTATAAAAGTTATGGAAATCACAATTAACTACGGCGCAAAGTTCTGGACGATGATTTCGACTGAGGTTGAATAAAAAAACAAATGAAAATCTACCGTGCAACCTGGAACAGGACTTAGTTTTACCTTATGCCTCATAAAAAGGGACCGAGTAATGATGGCATTCATCCGTACCTCGCAACTCGAACGGTATATAACATAAGTCCAAATTTAACGTGGGGGTTCCACGCGTACATGAGACCAGAGGCTTAAATACAGCCTCCTATCCTCACCATTTCTTCCTATCTGTGGGTGTCTCAGGTGCCAGGGATTAATCATAGAAACGGGAGAATTATTGTTTGGTGAGATTAGCACCGGGGCTGGATTATTATGTGATATTTAATATTATTTTAGAAATGACTTTTTTCAGTAGTATTTTTTGGCGTTGCCCGGGGATGTAACAGTAAGAGATAGATCAACTATTGACCATCATAAAGACTTCAAAATAAAATTGATAAAGATTGTTTAAGGTTGACGGACACGCATGTCTTAATTATTTTTTTTTTTTTTTTTTTTTTTTTTTACGAATTGGTCAAACTCAAACAAAAACATTGTTTTCAATTCGTTATGAGTCTACCGATTGAATAGAATTTTATTATAAACTATTGTCTTGTAAATGGAATTTTTAAAGCATTCTGAATGTAAAAATAAAGAAAAAAATGTGCAAGACAATAAGAAACACTACCTGCCAAAAAAAAGGTGAAGTTTTGAAATCGGATGAAAAATGTAGGAAATCCGATCCCATATATAAACGAACACACACACAAACAACCTGGGTTTTATAATAAGTATAACTCGATATGAGTTGTGCCCCTTTCATTCTCGTGATTCCTCTTAATCGTGTTTTCAAATTGATTTCGTGCAAAAACAATTGTTTTTCCAATTTTGGGCGCTGTCAGAACCACCGCAAGGTAATTTTACGTAGTCCTGTGAAGTTTTGTTGAAAAATGTAGGAAATCCGATCCAATATATAAACGTACACACACACACACACACACACACACACAATCTGCGTTTTATAATAAGATTATCAAGAAATATAATGCCAAAATCCTGAATAAATACCTTGGTAAAAATTCATTTCAACACCCGAGCGCTATTATGCCTTCAAATTTTTCCAAAATAGTCTTATTTCCGTGCAAATGTATATGCTGAACTCAAATCAACAATTAGATATTAAAGAAATCTACCTTTTGGATGTTAACGATAAAAAAAAATCGGACTTTTTTCCTGGTCTTCCGTCAGCCATTACCGGCTTATTGATAAGTAATTCTGTGCTGAATTTTGTTGGTGGACGTATACAATTTATTATTTATTTTTCCTTCACAGTAATTCCTTGTACGCGCGTCTGTAAAGCGATTTTTTTTTTTTTTTTTTAAATATAAGAAGAAAGTTAACTTTCAAATATATATAAACATCGACAAATAAAAGAATAACAAAGTAATTTTTCTTTTAAGTTAATTTTTCAAATTAGGGTGAGGTGTTTTTTTTTTTTTTTTGTTTTTGTTTTTTTTTTGTTATTCTTTTATTTGTCGATGTTTAAGTTATATTTGAAAGTTAACTTTCTTCTTAAATAAAAATAAAAAAAAAAAATTTACGGAAGCGCGTTTTAAGTTCTGAAAGAAAATAGTTCAGTGAATGACGTCCGGGTGTTAAAATGAAAATTTACCAATACCTTCACCAAAATCAAAGAAATATGGATCCTGGAATAGGAATAAAAAAAAAAAAAAAATGAAGAAAAAAATTATGTAACTGTAGAAATCCATCTGCATAAGTGTCGCATAAAATCCGTAGTTTATCAATGCAATCTCATCTATTGAAAATCATAATGATTTCAGTCTATGTAGGATGTACAAAGAATGAATTTAAATTAAGATGGAACCAACACTAAAGTTCCTTCAATAATACTAAATACCGCAGCCAGACATGCTTATCTAAATATTTCTTGCATTTAAAAGATACCAATAAAAAACAACAGTAAAAAAAAAAACAAGAACTTGTACATCTTTAAATGATCCATGACCTTTGTTCATACATGAAAAGCTAAATATTAAGTTTCTGAAAAATAAAAAAATTAAACCAAAGAAATAGTGAGTTTTTGTAGATATTGCCAAATTTCTTCCTTAAGTAATATTCATTTTTTTTTTTTTTTAAATTAACTAACATATTTATGTTTAAATAAAAATGTTTATGAATACATAGATTCTATTATATTAAATTTAACATTACCATATATGTACTCAATTAGTAAATAAATTGAATATCTTAAGTCGGTACGAATATATATATATATATATATATATATATATATATATATATATAAATGTGGCTAATAATATCTGAATGCCTCTTTTGAAAAAAAATTTAATTGAAATTTATATAAAAAAAAAGATTAAATAAAAAAAATAAAATGCTAAAAACTATTGAAAAACCCAGACGATTTTTGAACATAGACACTACCATAAATTTCTATTTGAAAAAAGTTTGTATAAATAGACAGATACCCCCAGGCTCCACCTTGACTTGATAGCTACAATACATTAGATACATGAGTAAAAATAAATAAGTTAAATCTTAAAAGTTTAAAATAAAACGCCATCTCAAAATATCAAATTTGTCTGGACTTATAAATTAAGTGAATCAATTTAAGATATTCTTAGAGTCGCTTGATAATGGAACGGAACTTTGTATTTTAAATTTAATTTGTATGATTGAATTTAAATTGACGTTTCAGTTTTGAAACATGGGAATTTCAGTGTTGCGATGATAAAAAAAAAAAAAAATTATAATATTATGCTCCACTGTCGTATCGAGCACTGTTTTTTAAAAATAAATGCTAAGAACTCTGAATTATAAATCTCATTGTTCTTTTCGATATTATATATATATCTCCTTAAAGGATATAAAGGAATGTGTTCCTTGGTTTTTCAAATTCATAAATAATTATATTGGATATACTAGAACATACCTAATAGGACTCGGTTAAACCTCTCTGACCATAGCTCAAATAGGTCTCCTTTAAATAAACATGGAGATCTCCATCCGCAACATAAAAATATAATAGCCTCATCTACATGGAAGCATTATTAATTTATAAAAAAGAAAGAACAAAACAACGCTCAATAACATCAACTATGAACAGAGGCACAATGTGCTGGCCGTGTTTGGAAAATAAAACATTCCTATATTTCTAGAAACATGTATAAAATATACATTCAGTTGAATATAAAAATAAACTCATCCTTGATAATTGGTAAAAGTTTAGTCGAAAGCGCTCGGGCATACAAAACATTCGGATAATTTCTACATAATCTATGCCCAGAAAAGAAAATTATAAGAACACAAGTAAAATTAAATAATACCTTGTCAGTCACTTTTAATGAAACTTATAATTATTTATTCGAAAATTATAACATAAATATGTTATAAAATCACTACAAAAATAGCCATTTTGTTTCAACACTTCTGGTGTCTTATCAAGTGATAGTGTTGAATGTAGATTAAAGGGTTTTAAAAGGTTCAAATCAATCAAACACCCTTCGCTAGGGGAAACTCTGTTACATAAGCTGGAATGACCAATCAAAATACAAGTATATAAGAATTCAAACAAACTTGACAACGGACTATGGTTATAATAATTATTTAATGCTTTAATGTTGGGATTAGACTAAAATAGAATTTATTCTAACTAATAAATATTAAATTATACGATAAAATTTGAAATTAAAAATTACCAATTTTAAAATTTAAGCTTAATCTATATTAAGTTTCAAATTATAAAATTACTGAGGAAAAAAATACATATGTTTTTCTATTTATTTTGTTTTTATTGAAATTAAATAAGAAATAAACGTTAAGATCAAATGTTGCTCTGAACTTCAGGACAACGTAGATACATTTGAAACAGAGGCAAGAGAGGATGAAATCTTTCAAAAGACAATACATACACAATCAGATTATAATACATAAACACGCAGA